AGGATAATTAAGCCGTACAATTTACTGACGCTATACAGTTTTATATATGGTGACTTGACAAATGTATTAGTCAATGGAAAATCAGGTAGTCAGTGAAAGGCAACATAAAATCTGGCACATATATACTTCGGTTCATGTTGCTATACAGTAATTAGAAAAGCAAAATCAAATTGTCTGTGAGAATCCCAGAATAGTAGAGGCAGTATCAGTATGAATGGTAAGAGGAAAGTTTAGGCATTCAAGATACAATTCCAGAAGAAAATATAAATTAGTGAAATTACGGGAAGAAGACTTTGAGGAATTAACAAACTTAGGAGGTAAGGGAAGACAAAGAGTGAAAACACCTATGCAATTACAAACTAATTTGAGCGTTGTCATTCAGAGTCGTTAACCATTGGTTACAAAAATCAACTGAACCCCAACCAGGTGGTCTATATCTGTTAAAATGGCTCAGTTTGACTGGTGATGACTTCATATACGGATGTCAGTTTTCGACTACACCACCTCTTGCTTCTTCCAGCCTACTCCTACATCAGACAACACCGTCTGTCGAGGTAGACGGTGGTTTAACATACATAACATATGTTCCAGCCACTTCAGTTGACAAATACTTACTACCTCTCACAATCTATTTATCATCTTCACCTATTACTCTATTGTCGACTCACCGATTGCTTAGTCAGCGATCTTAAAATGAACAAGCAACGCTTCGAAGACACCTATGATCGAATACTAGAAGCCTACGATTATCCTTTATTCTTAATGACCATTTTCTACGCATATGAAATAGGACAGAACAAACGTTTGCATAATAAACTCATCCTTTGGTGGGCAGACAGTTATCTTGCCTACGCTACAATCGACGCAAGTTGGCAAGTCGAGTTTTCTGCATCCGTGCTAAGACCTTGCCAGACAACAGACCATCAAGACTGACAGAACTTTGCGGATAAGCAAAGCGGTTGATATGCCCAAATACTTCGCTTCTTATCGCTAATACAGGTATTAAGGCAGGACAGTCGTGAAAATAGCATCTGAATTTAAAGGGATTTAAAGGGTATATTTAACCTATGTCTCAAGAGTTACTACATCCTCCACCAATCTGCCATATTTATCTGGTACTTTGTGCCTAACTTTAGGATTGCTCAATCGGTGCTCTTATAATTAACACATCATACCCCGAAACAATCTGAGTTCACATCCAAAAGAATATCTACTATTCCTAAAGGTAAAGTTACACAACCGTAAAGTTGGACCTAACAAACTATTGCATAGTATACTTGTCCTTTGAGTGACTAATATGGCCAACAGAAGTTCTGAATCTGTATCTAAATTTTGTTTTGAAATAACCTACTAATGTTTATCGGACATACAATGTAAATGAAATTTTCGACACGCTCAACTAGTTCAATTCCTGTCATTGGTTCAGATGCTGCTGTAGATCAATCACGAAGCAATATTCTTATTTGGATGAAGTGAAATGTGTCCAAAGTGATCAGAAGACACTGGATTTTATGAACAAATTCACTACACTGAACTTTGTCACTTTAGTGTGCAAAATTAATAAATAGACCTACTGTTAGATAAATTCTCGAAAAGTCAGAGTACAAAACAAGACATGTGTGACAAATTTAAACATAAAAATGAGGAAGGTGGATAGCCTTGACGAACACCAAATGACATAATTACTTTGTATGACCAATCACCATAGGCTGGGACTTTCTAAATAGTGTGCGAGCGGAGAAGCTTCACTAGGTTCACATATTTCTTTGGTACTACTTTCACCGACAGACTCTACCATAAAACATCTTCTATGGAGTTGACTGCATTCTTCAAGTCAAAAAATGCTTCTAAATAAGAGAGTCAGTAGGTAAATATATTTCGCTAAACCTGGTGAATGGTGAATATTTGGTTGACTTATTCTCATCCTGGTCGAAACCAGTTTGGCTTCGGTGGATTGTTGTTCACAAGCCCTGGTTAAAAGTTGAACGATTAGTGAGGCTAATGTTCTAGAAAATACGGATACCTCGGTACTTATCACACAAGAATTTCCATTCTTCATTTTAAACTGGGAAGACCAACGATAGACATAATTAGTATAAATTACTTCCAGTCCAACAAAATCTAACTAGTATCTCAGTTAATCTAATTGCCAACAATGAGTCCCTAAAATTAAACATTTTCGGGGTGAATCCATCATGACCTGTCGCTCTTCTTAATTTTCACCTTTACGATTTCACTAAAAATTGGGAAAAGGCTTATTTTGACATCCATTTCAGGTTGTTTTGTAACAATAGGGTTACAAAAACCATTTAAACTGGTCCTTAAATCTCCGGTCATCTCACTTACTCACTCGATAGAGAGGGTGCGTGTAAGTAGTTGAGCTACTAATTTGATAAGTAGTCAATTCGTACAATTAAAAAAAACGTTTCTTAAAAATGCTTTTTTGTAAACGATAATAATTCCTTACACTTTATTTAGACTTTCGCATGGTTTAATCTAATATGTTTATTTACTTAATTAGACAGAGTGTACTTCATGTATTTAAAAAAATACTCCATTGATTGATGATATAAAATTGTTTGCATAACAGTTACTTCAACATCACTGCGTATAACCTACTTCGGACTGAAGTACAGTTATGCCATGGAAACTAATAGCACATCTGAATGAATTAAATGAGAAATCTTGTAACATTTCACACCCTTTCCATAAATTAGCTACTTTTTTAGTATAGAATATCTTTATTATGCAAGGTTCGTTGATCGTATTTCGTTATATTTCCTCGGAAATTTCTCATTAGTAGAACAATAAAGATAATTCACATCAGGGGAACTCATCGAATTCTCTAATCCCAACAGTTTTTAAGAATGTCTATTAATTTATCTTTTTCTCAACTGAAACCAAGTGTTACAATCCCCCGACTAGTCTGTGTTGGTATTGCAAGAAAAGAGTTCTTTAGATTTAGTTTACAACCTTGACATGATGGATTACTTAGTGAAGCCTCAGAACTTTCAATGCATGAATTGAACTTGTGACTGAATGGCACTGAGGGAGGAAAGAGAACTATCTGATTATTGATCTATGGCTTACTTGACTGGAAAGAGGAGAGAGAGAAGACAAATTCAATGGAAGGATCATCTGATTTATTTCTGATTGAACTCATTCTAAAAAGTGCCTGTACTAAACATATGACTCATAGAACCACTATGTACAAGGAATGATAAAAATACAATCGTATTTATACTAGCACGTTAAAGTGGAATAAATGGAATAAAATAGTCACGTGAAAGCTGCAATAGTTTTGGAATAGAAGAGAACATGACAGTGATTTACACTTCAAAGTTGAATACACTAGTCAATCTAACCTAGACCACCATTGAAACCCTTTAAAAATAGCACTATCTCCACAAATCTCCAAGACTGAAAGTTATTCACATACTAACCGAACGCTTATAACTCATAGAATAAATCGGGCACAAAACTAAAGGTTTACGCATTACAGAATTCTAATTAATGGAGACAATGTCTAGAAAAGTAGACCTCGCTGCTTCTTAATTCCTTTCTTTACATTAGCAAGACAATGGTGTAATATAAACAATGTTGAGATCTAACTGAAGATGCTACACATATGTTTCTTCAAACCCTTCTCTATTTCCTTGAATTATAAAACTTGTTTTTTAGTACTTGGTGACTGACTGAAAAGTAGACATTGATTAAAGAAAAGTGTGAAAAAATGCACAACCATGACTAACACAAGTGTGATGTAATTGATGCAATCTGAGCTCTATTGTAAACTATTATTTCTGCGTATATTGTTGACAGAGCTTTGAAAACAGACATATCTCTTTTATATTATTTAGCTGCGTTGAATGTTGTCGAAACTCAAGTAGTTCCCCTTCTGTTTGTTAGTTATAGAGGTTATTAACCTTATTGCTTATAGAATGCATCCCTATTTACAGCATGATCAGGTTGACACAGAAAACAGAGTTACATGTAACGGTAAGAGAGAGAGAGAGAATGAAGAAAACATAGAGAAAAAGAAGATAGAAACAAAAGCGAAAAAAATCTCTGTGATAAGGTTTGTCGTCGTATATGTGTTAGGCTATTTTATGAACTATCTGATTAGTTAAATTTACCAGGGACAGAGTATGAGTAAAATATCTGAAGGAGGGGAACTTGAATGAATTCGCTTATTAATAACAATGATTACTCGTTTAATGTGTCCAATTCAGTTTGAAATTGTTTGGACTATCCCATAATCGGTAAATTTCACTGAACGTTTAATCAGTTTTGGTTGACATACGGATTAACACGACATAGTCATTATGACATAAGATGATAAACAGTGGATAAAATGTGGCTAGCTGTGGAATTCTGGATAGGTGTTTCATCCTACTCAGTACTCGTCATCTAAATGAACCGGCATTCCAGAATTGATATCATCATAATTTCACAAGTTCAATAGTATACAGTAACAGGTATAATTTATATATTATCCTATAATCCTAATATTAAAGCATAATGAATAAAATCCCTGTGTAAATGGAAGGCTGGAGGGAACTAACAACCTAATTATCATTAACACTATTTTTTACAAGTTTTCTTTCTATTTACAACTATAAAAATAAATGTACCACTATGATTGGACAATTCAAAATAGACCAATGAAAACAAATCCGGTGAAAATGAAGTACATAAGTAATCTTAGTATATAAGTAATCTATTGTAGTTTCATGAAAGATTAATATTATATTCTGTAAAAGAAAAAAAATCTAGTACTGTCGAAGTTCATATGGTTACATCTCCTCACCTTTCCTATAAAATAGATCACTGTTTTTATTTTCCTTTATTATCTGTACAAAGAATCTTCTGAAAGAAATTACTTGATTCATTTCATAAAGCTTCATTTGAGAAAAAAAAACAAAAAACAAATAATATTTAAACTGTATTAATTTGATTATGAACGATTCATTATCAATGAACATTATCAACAGTGTAAAATAGAATCATCATCTTAATGAAGATTATCTAGGAAAGAAGGAAATTCAGTTGATTGACATATATTTATGAGAATGATAAGATTTATACTAGAATTATGGTAAAATATTCATATTCCAAGTTCTTAAAAATGACCATGATCTCTTTAAAGAATAAATTACAAAGTGAGTTTGATTATTTTGCAACCATTATGTTTCTTTTTATTAGTTTAGTATAATTAAGAAATATTATGTATGACAAGCAAAGAGGAGTCCCAAATAGGACGAAACTCACGTACTGGATTTCATTGCTAGCTATTATTCATCTATGTTTATAATGCTTGTCAGTTAAGGCAATATCAAAGCAATACGCACAGTAGGCCAATAAGAGACTGATCAATTGCAATCTTTAACATCAATGGGAAGATTGAAGTAAACAATACCAAGTGAATTATGTGTTACAGTTTTGAATTATTTTAATTATTTAAAGTGTGTTCTTTTTCATTATCGACTAATATTACTTAGATTAATCAGTAAGCTTTTTTGATAGAAAATGTCTTCCCAGTTATGTAGATAAAATTATTAACGATGGAATATCACTTTACAATTCTGTTATACTGTGTGCGTATACACGGATACATAAAATGGATACTAGAAATAGTAGGAATTTAGTGGCTCGTTGATCTGACTCCAATTAGATAGTATGAATGATTGCTATCACCTATTCTCGTATATCATCGTCGACTTAGATCGCGTTATCCAATAACGGAATTAAATAAGTCGAATAACGAGAATTGACTTGACAATACATATATTTCGTACATGAAGCGAATGAAACAGAGCCAAGCAAAATGACGCACAGGGAAGATGGCTGGGAAGCCAACTCCATTTCAAGCCAGGCATTACTCAATATTTATAGGCAGACAAAATAAACGACAGACATGTGATGAGTCATGGGACATGAAGTGTACACACATATACGCTCATATAAAAACAATCAAGACTGACAAACGAATAATTGACAAGGTCAAAATATGACTCAAGCAGAATGAATAAAATGAAATGTCCGAAAACTAGAATAAGTTATATTATGGGCTAAAACTTATGACTAACACTACAGGAAAAATGCCAGTCAAGCATATTTTACAGATTTTATTCCACTTATGTTGACAACTCTGAGATGCGGCTACATCCAGCTAACATGCCACAGATTGGACGAAACGCACATCTTGAATTCCAGGGCTAGATACTACTTAACTCTGCTTAAAAATGCTTGTAACTTAGTGACAATATCATGGTAATCCGTCTAGAATGCACATATGTTAAAAAATACTAATCAATTACATGCCGAAACATCAATGGGAAGATTTAAACGATCAATACAAATGAATATGTTGACAACTGTTATTCACCCCTAACATTCAATCGGTTGAGATAGAGTTAATTAACTTATCAATATACCAAATTGTTATTATCATTTTGATCTAATAAATTCATTTCAAAAGTGATAATACTTTTGATAATATTGTTTACTTACAGTTGTTATTAACAGAAATGTACATATATTTGTACTTCATGAAACAATTCATGAAAAAGAATTCTAAGCTACATCAGAATGAAATAACAACAAAACTAGGTTAACTAAACGTAATTCTTTAAAGGTTTATTAAAACTGAAATTGGTTTCATTATTTTTATAAAAGATTAAAGAGAAGAATAAGTAGAGCATATAAGTGAACTAAAATATTAATGGGTTGAATCAAACTGTTCACAAGTTTGGTACTACTGTATTTGTAGATAGTAAATACAAGATTTTAAGTAGAGGACAATATTGACTAGCTTTAGATTTACATTTTTTTTTTGCTAAGATTCATGAATAGGTTACAGAGATAGTTTATATGCACCTAATTTAGGCAGATTATATTTAATTAATTTCTTCAGATTGATGAAACAGAGAATTGAATCCTTTGCCAAATAACACTTTTTTTTAAAAATTCTTTATGTCATGCAACCCTAATAGTAAGTATTGTTCATCAGATTACCTATTGAAGAACAAAAATATAAAAAAAATCTAACAAAATCAGTCTTAGTTAGACCATTAAATGAGACATGTCCTCATATCATTAATACAAATCAAATGGTAAAGTGGATGAATATATCTATGTACATTAGGTACATTTTTAATGAAAATTTTCAAGCCAATTTTTTTGATGATTCTTAATCATTATCCTCAATTACTTGAGTATGTCCTTAGGGTTAAATTCGTGTAATTTAAGTAAAGAAAAGATTAATAGCAAATGGTTGTACACAAATAGATACACTTTACACCATTTACGCAGATAATACATCTGCTCACTTGCATTTAGTCATTGTACATAATATAGTACATACACAAAATATCCCATATCCATAAAACTCACTTCCTAATCATTCACAATGTAAATAGATACTCTTACTTAACTGTAGTTTGAAAATTTATTTGTTTAATAGATCCCTTATATATATATATATATATATATATATATATATATATATATATATATATATATATATATATATATATATATAATAAACTACAGTAGTAAGAAAGAAGATTGATTTTTCATTGTTGTGACTACTATTAAATCCTGGTTACTCATATTAGTACAAATGGTTAATATGGATACTTGTTGAAATTGAACTAAACTACTACAACGACCTGATGAGGAAAACAAGACTGTAGAAGAAGACAGATTTATTCACCAAACATTAATTCAAGGACTCCTACAATAACAAATTACATATCATTCTAATTGTTTTGATCAATCAATAAATTTCGGATGAATTCGACTAGTGGTCAATCATTAGTTTAATATATGTATATAATTTATAAAATTAATAAATCAACTGATGTAACTATAAGATATCAGCCATCAGTGAACTATGTATTTGTCCACTTAATATAAACTTGATACAAAAGGTTGTGGTTAATTCACGCTATCTAATCAAAACATTAACAATAAGATAATCCAAAACCGTTACCAATTAAATAAAAAATCATACCTGTTGCGCAAGTAACTAGTTATATTGAGTTAATAACTAATCGTAATACGTATTAGGGTTTAAATCCAAAGATACTGAGTGCATATCAACTGTAAAACATGGGTAAATCTAGTTGATGAATCACAAATAGAACCAAACAAGAGTTTTGGATTCTAATTCTATTTCTAGCCACCTTCTAGCTATTGTAAATATAAAGTTATTTCCAGATACCTTTTATGAATAGTAAAATCCATGATATTTAGTAGTATAGGTAGAGTTTCTCAGTTCGGCTTCACTGAAAAGAATATTTAGTCAGTAATGCATACAATTAACTATTTCATACTTCTAGTATAGAACTGTTAAACAATAAATATCTCGTTCATTTTATTTGTTATCTAGATACACAATAACATCAATGGATAAAAGATTGTTGTATATAATTGTACAACTAATTTGGTACTCTGATGTTGTTCAATCAAATATTAAGCGAGAATTTGATAGGAATATGACGTGTTGTTTATTTTTCATTACGATGAGATGACTCGTATTCTTCTAGTTATTATCTTAATCTGTCAGTGTTTATTTTCTATTTATTCAAAAGAAACTATGCTTGATTCATTCCAGGTAAGCCATTGAATGATGAAAGAATCACTGTTTGAGTAAAAAAAACGCCTAGACTTTTCACGTATTTCATTTATAATGTGTTTAATTGATTCACCTAATCTTAATATTGTTTGTCAGTGAAAGGTATGTGCTTTAATTAACTGTCAACTGTAATTACATGTGAAATGGTTTTATTTTGATATACAACTAATTTGATGTTATGGTGAGGCAGTAGTTTATAGACTAACCAATCAGAATTGAGTGAACAACTCCAAGGTCATGGAGCATATTTGAATGCAAAATGCATAAGTACGATCACCATAGAGCTGATTTCAAAAAGCTTTTATATTTTAGCGTCTACGAGAGTTGGGATTATTGAGAAGATTCATTAATTTTGGTGGCAAAACTTGAAATAACTGCTAGACAATGTATAGATTATCGAGCTGATGTAGTATTCCGAAGTAATGAATGTCAGAAAAATATTCAGAAAGATCAGATACAATTTCAGCGTGTTCTAGATTAATACAGAAAAATAAGTGATGAATTTATATCTATCTTTTTGAGGTGTAGAGGGTATATTAAAAAATCGATGGACCCATCATCAGGAAATGAAAGTTGAATGGAGGAGAGAATGTCAAAGAAGACCAGGTAAGTAGAATTTCCATAAATCTTCGGTATTTGTGATGAAAGATTACAGAATGAACGTTTTCAAAATTTCAGAAGCCATAATTTAATAACCTCGGTACCAATTATAATGGAGTATCTACAATCAGACACCTCAATATACACCGACGAATAGTGTTCATATAGCTCCCTAACTGAACATATCTACGATCACTGTGTCGTGGTCAACGTAAGATCATCCAGGGATGTATATCAAAGATAATTGTTATGGATTTTTGTATCATATCGTCGCTCTATATGAAATGTTTTCTAATCGGTAGAGATATTTTAGGATCGTCTAAGTTCCTCTCAAACTTCACCCATAGATCACTTAAGATTACAAGCCTCATTCTTCTACAAAGACGCACACAGTATTTATGGAGATTTCTGGATTATGTGATATGAGTTATGAATTGATCTTATTTAGGTGATTAATCAAAGCAAGGAAGTACTGGATATTTGTTTCATCCCCACCCCTAATTGGGATCGAACCTGGGACTAAAAGTTTGCCAACAATTCATCTTTCTATAGAAGTCAGTACTTTTAAGTTGGATTTTGAATTTAAAAAAGAATCCTGTTTAAATTACAGTATTTTATAATCACATTCTATTAAAATCTTTCAATGATTAAGTAGAAAAATTACCATTATCTAATTGATTATACACGAAAGTATTTCGTGGTGTGTGCTACTTTAATTGACATATGTAGTATATGATGTTAGTCTTGAACAGAAGGTCTGGAAGCAGAGAGACAAGACGATAGAACAGTAAAGAATGGAAACAGAATGCAATTTATATGAAATTGCAAGAACAATGAAGTCTGAGTCATTTTGAGACAATTGATGGACATTTTGCAAATTAAGCATTTACTTTATGATTGTTAGATTTGATTAACAAGTTCTGTAATCTGGTGTTCTTGTTCACTACAATATCACTAGTATATATTCTGATGGTTAATGCTTTACACTTCATTACACTACAGATTATTTAAACATAGTATACTTTCAAGTGAACAATGAATAGCTTACTATTATATATTTCATTTTCACAGAAATAAGTCAACATTATAATTGATAGTAACAAAATAGTCAAGTACTTCTAAAAATATCAGAGAAAGCAATTTAGGTAGATCACTAATTAAATGCATAAACAGTTTATGAACTAAATGTATGAATTATTTATAAGTAAAGCTTTATTGAAATTAAGTACTAACAGCCTAAATTCATTTATAAAAGTATAATTATAGTCGTAGTGTACAACAATTTAAAACAGTCTACTAATGATAGTTCAAGTGTTCTATTATTAGTTTATCAATGTTTATGAGATCTGAAATGATTTATTGACAATAAAATAACTTTTTAATTGAGGTCATGAACCGAGTGATGTTAGACCACCACTGAAAACGCGTAGGACTGAAGGACAGAGGTTCGGAACCCGTGAACGGGATCGTGGATGCGCACTGCTGCGGAGTCCCACAATAGGGTGAGACGGCTATCCAGTGCTTCTAGGTTTTCATTGATGGTCTAATAATAATAATCTCTACAACCCTGTGCTGATAATCAAATAACTTTGATATTGTCGAGATCAGCAGCCGATTTAAGTTATACAACCATTTAATACGTTGAATGACTAAACAGCTAACTGAATCTAGCAGTGTCCATTCATAGACCCATCACAGGGAATAGAACACAGTACTTTCGATCTCACTCGCAGATGTTATACCTCAAAACAACCAAGCTGGGATCCAACACTGTACAAGTCTATCTGGAATAAATTCACGATATTCAGTGACCATTCATTGTCTTAATTGGGTACCGTTTGCACACTCAACACGGTTAAATATGCAATTATTATACAAAATAATGAAGTAACGTTACCTATTTTTTTACCCTCTTTGGTTTATTTTCCCATCTTTTAAACATAAACATATAGAATAATCTTGAAAAACTTGATAATACTATGCAAAAATTCAAGAATATAAGTCAAAAATGTAATGTATGCCGTAGTTCAAGGAAGACATCAATAAGTAATGGTAAGTACATTAATTTAAATGATTCCTTACATTTATACTAGTTTTAAATAGCTTTCATTTGATAATTTGATTAGTATGTTGCCTAATTTTCCATGAAAGAACTTAGTTTCTGTGCACTGAGGTTGTCATATATCGCATCAAATACCTATTCTTTTTTCTAACATTTTTCCTTGACATTTGTTTGCTTGTACGAGTAATTTATTCCCAATTACATTAAAGATTAGATAATGATATAGATAATTGTGCATTGTGTTATAAAAACGTTCAAATATCGCAACAATATTACGAGATTTCTAATGTATTTTGTATGTGATTGCAATGAAATTCAAGACGTACATTTCTTATATGAGACTGGTCAAATGAATGGACGTATATCTCGATGTTAACATCCATAGTGAAACTCAGAGTTAATACCTTTTAATTTAAAGGATAAGGCATTAGGGTCTGAAGTAAAAGTTTCTGTATTCAAATCTCAGTATAAACATCAACACTAAGTTGTACGTTTAAGACCTCGATGAGTCCCAAATATGAATAAATTTACGTCCTGGATTCCATTTTTAATCACAGATATGCAAAAAGACTTGCAATACAGAGGTACTTTTCTTCTCGTAGGGCTAAGAAGAACTGATGAGTGGAAGTTCTAAACATTAATGACGGAAAATTTCTAATCCTTGCTAAAACATGAAGTGTTCCAAGTTCATTCTTAAGATCGTTTGGTTTTAGAAATTTGTTAGCGACTACTATTGAGCTACTTATTGTAGCCATAAGTAGTATGATTAGTATAATATCTGGAGTATTTTCATGGCCATTGAGTATGAATACCTTGAAGTGTGTACAATATGACAGTTTAAGTGGGTATATACATCCGTGTAACTAGAGACTTTTACTACCGAAGTAAATTGGTATGAACTTCCGCTTAATCGTACACAATCTGTCAAACCATTCGAATTGTCATCGATTTCTTAGTATCCATAAAAGTTCAATCTCATGAAAGTTTTATAAATATTTAGGAATCAAAAGCACAAAACGATAAATGGTACCTGCTTAATGTTGATTACTTAACAAATAAATTGGTATATTTGAACAAACTGGGAAATGAGAGTACGTCTAACACTTCAGAACGAATCTTTCGGATGAAAATAAAGAAAATGTCCGTATTTCTTAAAGTTACGATTAACATAATAAGATATCTAGAATAAGAATAAGTGAGATACATTCAATAAGTCCATGATATTTCACTGTTTATTCTGATTAAGGAGATGGGCTTTAAGTGAATATCTATGCGCTTTAATCGATCAACCATTTACGTAATGAGTACTTCCTCTTACACATGAAATACCACAATACTCAGAGGTCAATAAAGTTATAAATATTTTGTCACCGAACTTTATTACTGTATTTAAGTGATATATAGTTCACCACTATCTTAAAATCTTGGATATGCTTTGCTGAATAACCAAAAATATTGGGAAATCTATTGTCCAATACAGTTAATGTGAAGATTATAACCTCATTGAAATATTTGGAACCAGTTACCAATCTTAAACATTATGTGAAGTCTTTATCAAGTATACAATGCAGGTAATACATAATGAGAAATAATACAGTGGTTTAGCATCAATCATTAACTAGTGTATAAGTTGAGTAGAAATATGATATAATCGGCTAATCATAAAATACTTGAATGATAAGTATAAATAGTTGACTAGGAAATGGGTTTCATATCTAAATGCCGATGTATACATCATTCATACATATGCAGTCCACATGTATCAAAGCAGTTTGGCCAATAAACGTTCATTCAGACTTTCAATCTTTTCACTCAAGTAGCCTGTTTTGCCAATGCCTTAGATGATTAAACATTAGTATCAACCCACATACAAATAAATCACAACAATATCATCAGGTTTTATTATCCAATTACTACTAGACTGGTAAATATTTTAACAAGCGTTATTCACAGACTTTAAACACATCGTGAATAGCAGGACTGCGAATGCAGATCTCGGTTACCACTCTTCAATGAATACTAAATTAAATGCTTTCCACAGCATCGTGATTAGACAAAATTGACTGGCGTCTGTCTAATAGAAAGGTAAAAATGGACAGTAATCCAAAAAATAATGAAACAGCTATCCAGTGCTTCCTAGTTCTCAGTGATAGTCCAAATAACATCACTTACTCATCCATTATATACAAGTTCTACAATCTCAACAAAACCATTTACAATGAAAATTACCACGTGGTCACTAATAATTCAATTTTCAACGAAATTCTTACAGTGCATTCATGTGAGATGTCGTTACAAGTTGAGTTCAATCGTGTTGTGTGTGTGGAGGTCAATCATGAAAAACAATGTGAGATGGTCACACAACATGACGAGATGAGAGGAATTAGAAATGTATAGCATTGTATTTCGGTTTATTTGTTAATTTCTTAAACATCGTCTCATGAGATTGAGTGTCCTATATTTAGTCGGTTGTAGTGGGGTTATGCACTATTGGAAATCCATGTGTTAGTATGAAACAGCTGTTCAGCACTTCTTGGTCTTGATATATATCCAGCTACGATTAACTATGATTGTTGAAATTCTGCTACCTCCATCAAACCCCCATACTGATATAAATGAAATGACTAGAAAACATTCTATACACTGTACTTCAATAGCTTTAAGAATAAATTGACTAAATCTCTATTTCTTCCTCAAAGTTTCTGTGCTGTGTATAGAATTTAATAACTAAACTAGAAACTAACCATAAGTATAAATTGTCTTTCAAATCATATTTAATAAATTATTTGGTATGTAAATCACTTCTTATAAATGCTTAATTCATCTATATTTTCATATATAGACATATATGTATTGTTGTGTAGGAAAAAGTTGAAACGACTAATGGTTATATTATGTATTTTATTTTACCACATACATATCAGGTAATGAGATTACTACAACTAATGACAAGTTAAAAACTTTATCCATCATGGATATGTTTCACCGACAAAGATTATTAACAAATATACATAACAGTACAAATGCATTACAAACAACGATCAAAAGAAATTATGATAATACACATCTCTATTCTGTAACATTTAAAGAAGCTGATTGTTATTTACATAATCCAAGTATGCATCTATATGAAATATTCAATGTACAATTTTCATTTCGTACATCACAAGAAAATGGTTTATTATTATTTAATTCAAACAAACAAGGAGTTGATTTTATAGCATTTGAATTGATTAGAAGTTATTTACATTTTGCATTCAATATGGGAAGTAATTCTCAACATTATTCTTTGACAATGTATAAAGTTACTGATTCCAAATGGCATCATGTAGAACTAAGTAGGTGAGTTGTGAAACTATTTTCTTAAAGAATTTTTAATGTTCAAGAGACTATAGAAACGAAATAAGTTTATGGGAAATACTGATAAATTGACTAAAATAGATCTATAATTTTCTTCCAGGCAGTGTTTAACGTTAATATGATAAACTACTTTAAGGGTCTACTTGTATGATTGTAAAAATATATCGGTTTCGTGAATTGATTATAGAAAGATGATAATGTCATACATGACTTCTTTTTTTATACTTTTACTAAGCCTTAAATTCAAAGTGACATTGGGTCGTTCATTTGAAAAAGCATTAAAGATGTTCACCAATTTTTCGGTAATTCAAATCCTTCAAAAACCTATTCCGTTCCTGATAGATCCTTTGAACAATTTCTTTTACTGTTTTGATCATAATTCATTGTTTCCATTTTTAAAAAATATTATGAAAAACACCCGATGATCTTCACAAGCGTAGAGATTACGACTGAAGTACTCATTAGATTATTTATCAGTGAGGCACTTTACTGACTCCCATTTATTGACGACTGAATAAGGGTACTACTAGATTGGTGTATTATGCGTTGACAACTAATTAATGTCAGTCATCATCCATGAGATGGGCTTAGAGCCTAAAGGTTAGTTTGAATACAACTGAAGTTTAAGTGAATCGGAGACATAATGAAGGAGATCATGAACCGACTGATGTTAGATAACCATTGAAAACCTGGAAGCACTGGACGGCGGTTTCCTCCTATTGTGGGACAACACGGATTAGCTCCGTGTCGAGTAGAAACAGTTGTCCACCTCAGTACAATGGAAGATGGTCACACAATTTCGTAGACTGGTTGATGTTAGGCACTATCACCATTGGATGCCGGACCAGTGGTCCAGTAGGTTAAGCGTTCGCGCGCGAGACTGAAGGCCATGTGTTCGGATCCCTCGAGCGCGATCGTTGATACGCACTGCTGAGGAGTCCCACAATAGAACAAAACGGCCGTTCAGTGCTTCCAGGTTTTCAATCAAAAACTTAACAATCTCCACAACCCCTAAATTGAATATATTGAATGACTGGGACGTTAAGAAACTTGGGGTGAAAAAGATTCAAACATAGAATGTTTGGAACACGAGTAAGTATCGTTTTCTAAGTTATACTTTTGCGACAATTCAAATGAAACAACTTAGACATGTAAAACCAATGATGACATTTAGGAAATAAACTAAATTTGATGAGTAAAACGATTTGATACTATAGTTGTAAACATTTGATTATACCTGATAGGATACACCAGATTCTGTATGTATGGAGCGAAGGAAGATTTAGTGGAACAAACTAATGACACGATGTCTTAGCAAAATATGAAAATTATACATTAAATATATCATTTGTACATCTTTGAATTGTCTTTTACATACTCCATTATTCCTCTAATTCTGTTGCAGTTTTGATTGCTCTCCGATTTCCTTCCTCTTCTCTTCATTTCAATCTTTACCTTACAGTCATTTCCTTTCTGATTGATGCTGCATATTGCTTATATTTTTCTCTTTAAGTAGCAAATACAACAGCTAACTAAATCATCCTATTTATATTGCTCACATCTCCAGAGTAAAATTCATTTCCTAGTTGGGATAGATGGACTTGATAGTATTGAGTTTTCTGTCCTGTACGGTACAGCTCTTGCTTTTACTGTATTAATGCATTTGTGATTTCTTTGATAGTTTTGTTTAATCCAATCATATTATGCTGAACAAAACACGTATTGAGATTAACCAGAGAACCAGTGAAAACTTGGGAGAACTGGGAAAATATAACAAAACTCTCTGACAGAACTAAATCTATCGTCTTTCTAAGGTAAAAATTCCCATTTTGCCTGTTTGATAAATAAAGAAGGAACGACTTGAGCGAAGAAATTTCTTTTCAATTATTGGGTGTACAATTCGGCAAGTCCGTTATCGCATTACTGAACATCATCCGTCGTGGTTAAATAAAGGACAGGTAAAAGTGATTAAAAGTTCTATTCTCTCTCACTTGGTTGACACAGGTCATCAAGTCGTAGTGAATAAAGCTTTTAAGGTTATCTACAATATCCCATCAAACTTGCCACATGGTTTACGAATGCGCCTCTTGCACATTGCGGAAGCCATCGCAATCCATGTTCATAAACCTGACCTTTGCATTCAAAAGATATTCGTACAACCACTTTCTCCGCCCTGGCCATCAGTTTAAGATTTCCTTCAAAAGAACTATTTTTCATACTTCTTCCAGTTGCTTTTTTTGTTAACTTTTGTAATTTTGTTTCTGTTGCTTTTGAACTTAATAAATTCTCAACATTGATTCTTACGTAACTACTATCCTATTGACCATCCGTTAAAATTCTGTTCCTTCTCTGTTTCTTACATTACGCAACGTAGCGACTTTTTGATCACTTTAAATATTAATATTCCTCTTTCTTCCGAACAATCAATATTAATTTAAATGTCATTATGTAATCATTACGTAACATATCTACTCGATGAGTATTATATTATTATTGTAAAACGTATGTATATTAGTGTAGAGCCATGATGAAAAACTAAATGAAAAGAAATTTCTTCGCTCAATTTGTTCCTTCTTTATTTCTAAGGTAACTTAATCAGCGATCAAAATACAGACCAGTCAACTGGAATTCTACAGTTGATATTTTTGTTAATGAAATTTAACTTCATTAACCTCAACGGAATCACAGACAATAAAACCAGTATCTATGAAAAGCATTTAGAATTTATTCACATTTAGTGAACTCAAATCGTACTATACTTTATTTCATCATATAGTTATTTACAATATTCATATGTGAATAATAATTTCCTTTATAAGTTATACTTGCGAAATGTGAAGAAAAAAAGGAAAAGGTAGTAAATAGTTCAACGATTTTATTCTCGAGTTTGTTTGTTTGTAACTTTGTACACAAAATCGATAGAGTTCGATCTACATTAAGAAGGACCTGACATACATGAAATCGGTCATGACTTGATGATTAACCAATTGTAAATACATCTCAGTCCTACAGGGGGTCAGTCGCAGCCTAGATAGCTCAGCTCTGATTGTTAAGTTGGTAGCGTCAGTTCCCTCAAGATTACAGTTAAACCTTGCTGACGAGTGCCACGTAGCTTCAAACCTAAATCCAGGGTTTCCTGTTGACAACCTTCAACCACCATCTTATCTCAACATAGTGGACACAATGTCTAGTCACCTAGACTAGTGGCTACATTGCATTCACCCTCATATCTCTTATATGTTACGTAATAAACTGGATTTGTGAAATTCTAAAAGTCATTAACGTTTTCAATAGTATGAAGGTCTTTCAATAAATATACACATGACATTATGTTTGAGAATTCATTGGAATTGTAACTTTTTAATTAGGATAGATTTAGAAAACAATACTTTACAGTTATACATAGATCGATACAAATTCAATGAACAATCTCTAATGATACCAGTTATTAATGGTGATATTTCAAGAAATTTCAATTTGAATGATCCACTTTTTATTGGAGGTATTCCTCAGTACACTTTCTTGAAATGGAGAGAAAAATTAAATTCATATCATGGATTTCAGGTAATCAACTCTTTACAATTTTTGTTCTGAGAGTAATCAGGTCATGTGTAAATCATGTACAAATAGATATAACTAGATAAAACGTTTTTTCAAATCCTAGTGGTAATTATCATAATTTTCAATTACATAACAGATTAAGCTTGAAATATCTTAGAAAAGTAGTTTTGAGATGAAGTTTCTGCTGTTATGTTCGATAGTGGATAATGAACGGATAAAACAACTAATTGTTGGATTTTTTATAGAAATAAGGTCTATAAACGTGGAAGCTAAAGACTCTGGCTTCTGGGAATATCATTCGAATAAAATGGTTTGCTGAACTTAGATAACGGACCTGTAGTGTAACATTCAGTTCCTAAATAGATCATTGAAATTTTCTAAATGAATGATCGGCAAGTTATCCACCAATATTGTAGATACTTCTGGCGAAACAAAACATAACAATTTATCATAAGCGATTTCATATATATTTGCTCTATCACTCTTATTGATAGTTAATATACATATATTCGTATACGGATTTTGCGAAGTCTGTAGAATTTCCATAGTATGAATTGTGAAACAAAATTGACTAGATCATCATTGCAAAACCAGGAAGTAAAAGATTTTTGTCTTCATACTATTGCCAGACTCCACAATAGTTTGCATGATCTACCTTACCACAACGGACTAAATATAGGACACTCAATCTCATGAGACGACGTCTAAGGAATTAACGAATAACCTGAAATACAATGCTATACATTTCTAATTCCTCTCATCTCGTCATGTTGTGTGACCATTTCACATTGTTTTTCATGATTGACCTCCACACACACAACACGATTGAACTGAAATTTTCACGACATCTCACATGAATGAACTGTAAGAATTTCGTTGAGAATTGAATCATTAGTGACCATGTGGTAATTTTCATTGTAAATGGTTTTGCTGAGATTGTAGAACTTGTATATAGTGAATGAGTAAGTGATGTTATTTCGACCATCACTGAGAACTAGGAAGCACTGGACAGTCTCTTTCGTCCTATTGTGGTACTATGCAAATAATCCCATCTTCGACCGTACCGTTAAGGGGATTTTAAGTTCATTAGAAATATGAAATTTCCTTTTTAGCCTCGTAGAAATAAGATTTGGATATGTTCATCCTATGTATATTGCTTCCCAAGAGCATGTGAACTGATGGGTGGACAACTGAGGGACTATATTCGTTTCGATCGCAGAAAATCAGTTTATAATCTTGAATTTTAATCTCATGTTTGCCTCATAGGATGTTGCCTAAACAGCTATCGATATTCGATTTTTAATTATATGAGAGGTTTGATCATCTTTAAATCCCAGATGCACACTGTCATTTTTTTTTAAAAAATTGGAGCCCCTTAATGTCTTGCTCAGACTTTTCCATATTCTGTTTCACGAAACTGCTTGGGTAACTAAATTCATTTGCTTTTGTTTACTTGAATCTTCCCATTAATGTTTATGACTGCAACTGATCAGTCTATTATTGGCATATGTGCATACTGTTCGTATTGACTCGATATTGATTTAATTCACAAGCATTTAAAGTAACTCTGAGATGCACGTACATCCAGCTGATGACTCCCAAATAGAACGAAAAGCGCGTCCTGGAATCCACTACTAGCCACTATCCATCTTTGCTATTAATGCTTAGAAAAGTGTTTTCAGCCAACTGTTTTCCAGAAGAAATAAAATTATTTTCCAACGGATTCGGTATAACAGGTCCTACCTATTCGGTAACATTACAAAGATAAGATTTCGCTTTGTATTTACTGTGGTCTCATGTTCGTTTTCAGTAAATGCACTTTAAAGGGATCCATCAATCACTCTTGATAGAAGCGCGTTTCCAACCAAACAAATTTATTTTAAACCTGGTTAGAACATTCGGGATTTCTAGTCTGTTATCTGTTTGTTTTGGTTGTTGGTTTTTTTTTAAATCCTAGGGATGTTTCGGTAACTTCTCCATAAATGGTTTACCTGCTTACAATTTGTTAAATAAAGCTAAACAAAAGTATATTTTAAACTGGACTATTCCAGTGTGTTATGATCAAATTATTCCCGGTTGTTTTCAACGTCCAAATTATGCTCTAAACTGTAATGAGATTAAAAGATATCCTAAACATCATACTATAAATAGAGATGAAAAAAAAGAAAAATTAAACAGTCAAATGTCGAAACCATATTGTTTAAATGATGGTTTATGTTTACACTCTTGGACTACGAACAAATGTGCCTGTGAATTAACATCATTTGTAGGGGATCGATGTACAAGAGGTTAGATTATGTTTAAATATATTAAATTTAATTGTATAAATACTTAATTATGTTTTTAACGTATGAGTATTAGATATATAGTTATGCACAGAACTTAAGCCAAGTTGAATCATGGCTAGCAGTCACAATTGATTGATCACTGGGTGGTGATCAATGTCGTGCTTGTCTAGTCCTTATTAATGCAGATCGAATGCTATCCATCATGTTGCAATGTGGCCACCAGTCAAGGTGACTCGACATTGCGGGCACTATGTATTGAGATTTAGATGGTGGTTGGAGGTAGTCAACAGGAAACCCTGAACCCAGGTTTCGTGCTACTTGGCACTCGTCAGCAAGGTATACCTGTAATCTTGAGGGAACTGGTGCTCCCTGGAGGATTCGGTCTCGTGTCACCCATCTTCACAGTCAGAGACGTTACCACTGAGCTATCCGAGCCGTGACTAACCTCCTGTAGGACTGAGATGTAATCACAATTGATTGATCACTGGGTGGTGATCAATGTCGTGCTTGTCTAGTCCTGTGAAGCTGGGTGACACGAGATCGAATCCGTCGGGGAGCACCAGTTCCCTCAAGATTACAGGTACACCTTGCTGACGAGTGCAAGTAGCACGAGACCTATGTCCAGGGTTTCCTGTTGACTACCTCCAACCACCATCTAAATCTCAATGGCTAGCAGTAGAATGCAGGACGAGCGTTTTGTTCTATTTCGAACTCTTTACCCAGATGATGTTCACACCTGGGCTCAAACCCAGTGCCATTCGATTCAAACGGCTCTTCGCGTTATCCAATTAGCTATTGAATCTGAAACACATAAGATGTATATTCTTGTATAGGAACTGAGCAATTGCAGTTCATAACGTCAACAGGAAAATCCAAACAATCAAAATACATGAATTCTGTTTAGCAATGTCATTATTCGACAACGATAAAGAATTTTACAAATTCTTCATTAAGGTTATTATGATTCATGAAAAAAAGATCCACGCAAGAATGAACTAAACTGTCGACAATTTTTTCCTGGTTCCCATTAGTGGTCTAATATTGTTCAGTTCACGATCTCAATTGAAATTATCAATTACATTAGTGTTAGATCGATAGCAACTGAAGACTGGAGCTGGGAGTTAGTAAAATAAGATTTCGAATGCGTTGCACTGCTTACTATATTCTTTCGTTACTCAATGTTTTCATTTACTTTCATACGATGTAAAAGTATCAAAAAGAATATTTACTAATGTTTTAGATATCACAGTCAGAAAACACACAGTAAAAATAACTTATGTAATGACTTGAAACAAAAGTGATTTGTGAGTGTCATGAATTGAACTAGACTCTGAATGCTGCTACCTATAAAACTGTTCACTGAAGAGTAAATGTTAGTTGATACTTATTGGAGTGGCACGAGATACCTGAGCCAACCCGAAGAAGGCTGATTTATTTACCAACCATTAATTTAAAGACTTCCACAATAACACTGATAATAAATTACATATCATTTTAAATGTTGTGATCAATCAATCAATATTGAATGAATCTTACTAGTGGTCAATCATTAATCTAATTTGTGTATATAATTTATAAAATCAATGAATCAACTGGTGTAACTATGCGATGTCAGTCGTCACTGAATTTTTGTTTTCTCCTAAGTATACTGTTGCGCGGATTTATATCCATATCGCCACCTTATCTTAGCTAAACAATTTTAAGTCAAAAATGTAAATCATTGAATGGAGGCCCAATGGCATTACGTTTAAGTGTTCATAACGAAACTTGAATGTGCTGGGTTTGTTTATCGCTGTGATCGTCATTGTACACTATCGAGAAATCATATAGCAGAACAATACAGCTTCCTGATCTTAAATGGTTGTTTAAATTAGAGAAGTTCTGAAGTAGAACATAAAATAAATATGTCGAACTAAGTCCAAAAAGGCTGCGAAATTATAAATTACTGCTGATAAGAATAGATACAATCAGTAATACTATAGAAAAAAAGGATAACAAATATTGATTGAACAGCCGAGTTAATAGAAATCTTTTAACAAACACATTAGTAATTTCTTTCAATCATCCAATGACGCAATAACCTGTTTGTTTATGGTATCTGTTACACTAATCACAAAGATTCGTCTTCAGTAAGATAATTACGTTCATTGATTGTTACTTATATACTTCTATAACATTATTTTATTAGCCGGTACCACTTTCATATATGGTTCTAATCAAGATCAAAGGATCAATGTCAATATTAAGAATTGGACTATGACAACCATGAGTGAAACTATAGGTTACTTACGTTTTATGTATAAAGATCATTTAAGAAATACAAGAAAAGATGAATTTATACTTGGTATTCAAATGCATCCAATGAAAATTAACAGTAAATCAAGTCATTCTATTTTCACCATTGCAACTTTACTATTTATTACAAACCTAAAACAAACAGGTGACTTTATACATTTATTTTTAGTAAGTACTATTTTTATGTTATACTTAGTATCTTATTATGTTAATTATGTTGAATAATTTAACAGTACACCAAAATGAATATTCACTTTAATTTGTCTATCGAATGTCATGCTGTAACATAACTATAACACTTATGTTTATGGAGGTATTTGCATTTCTATGACTAAAAATGACGAGAAAATTCAATTACATTAAAAAGTCATTAGTTGTTTACAAAATGACCAAGTTTACCTCATTGAAGACTTGATAAATATCTATATATTTCTCAAGACTTATTATTATATGCTGTTGTTGTTATATGGTTCTGTGGTCCACCATCAATACAGCCACTGCCAAGAAATTCCTACTCACTGACTTTTCGTGGCGTGTGTGTTGTTGACGAAAATGAGAGGACGAGAAATGAATGTCCGGTGCTCTAACCGAGCTGGTGGACACGGAGGGTCCACCTAGGGCAATTGGATAACCTTGATTCTAAACCAATGGTGTGCATGAGCTCCGGGATCCTGAGGAAACAAATGGTGTATGAACCAATTATTGGCCACTGACTACCATGTGGGCTGTGTCTCTTGACGCTGCCCCACTGCCTTGTGGATCAGACCTTTAGGTCAAAGGGTCCAGGTGTGGCTCTCTAAGAAATCCATCTTTTTCGGTTTGGACATCCGCACAGTATCACAGCCCACACAAACACTATTTACACTATGAAACTGACGTATTTAGATAGTAACTAGATATCAGGGTTAATCATAGGCTAATAAACCTTATGAATTATATACATTCTTCGAGTTAGTAAGTTCAGTGGATTAAATATTTGTAAAAGATCTTTATATTATAGTTATCGCTATTGAAATGTTAAAATAACAAATTAAATTATTTTATGCTCGAAGGCTAATTCAAGCATAAATAAAACGGAATTATAACAAATTACAGACACTTATATAATATCTCATCAAACTGTCTATCATCTTCACTCGTAATCTTTATAGACATAATTGGCAATATGTTCAAAAATACTCCAGTTAAAACCTGCGCACAGCAATTTTCAGATTATTACTTACAATAAAGCTTAATGCAACATAGTGAGCAGTTCATTTGATAATCATTACGACAGGAAATACATATGGATGTAACTGGTAATTAAGTGGGTTTAATATTTCAAGAATCAGACAATAATAATATGGATGCACGTATGCCAATAGGGGACTGATCAAATACAGTCCTAAATATTAATCGGAACATTCTATCAACCAATAAAAAATGAATTCAAACTTCACCACAATCCACAGACTAACGGCTATCTAGACTCAGTTGCTAGGTGGATAACTAGATGACCATTGAAGTGAACTGCACACGGTTCGAGTTCCAAAGTGAATATCAACTCTAAGATGCAGTGCATTCAGCTGACGAGTCTCAATTAGGTTGAAACACACGTCCTGGATTCCACTGCTAGATACCATCCATTTCTACCAATTACGTATTTAATATGAGATAAAATCGAGACAATCCGTACAGGATGTATATATGCGAACAATAGACTGATCAATTACAGTCCTGAACATCAATGGGAATACTCAAACAAACGATACATAATGAATTTAATATATATTATCGTTTAAATTATTGCCATTACTGGTTTATAACACGATAATCGACAGCTTCAAAGTGTAGAGTTGCATGGTTTTACCGCTGCAAATTTAACAGAAATATTCCATATTCTATGGTTTTCATTTGTTCATTAGACAATATTGAATAGAACTAATTCCCATGAATCATTCAACTAAACATGTTTCATTTTTTTTTAAAAATGTATTCTGAACGAAATTATACTTCACTGGATAATATTTTAATTGTGTTTTAGGAATCAGATAGATTAAAACTTAATTATGATATGGGCGGAGGTATCATTCATATTATTGGTCCTAATTTATCAGTGAATGATGGATTTTACCACAGAATACGTGGTTATCGATTGGATCATCATGTTATTTTAGAAGTGGACAACATAAGACAAATGTATGAAGTGAACAGTAAGCAAAAAGTGAATTCATTTGAGATAAATTAGATTATGATCGCGTTCTTCTAGTTTTTAAATAGAAAATAAATATTATAAAAAATAACTCAGTAAGATTAATTAGGTCAGTAGTGTATACGTTTCAGAGTTTATTATTATGTATATATATGTCAGTCAACTTGTCAAAAAGGAAACTTTCACAGTAAACTTCCAGAAATAAAATTAATCCCCACAAAAGCCTCTTAAACATAGTGTTAGTAATAATAATAGTAAAATATCAAGGTCAAGGTATGACATAGATTTTCTGCACACATACTCCAGGTCTCAGTTAACAAGTAACTGTAGTGTCAGTTAATTTCGTTTGGAGATCTTGACAGATTTAAATCGATTCTGTGAGAAATCTGGAAATCAGTATAAGATTTAGCTTAAGTTTAGTCAATCACATGTTCTAAGTTCCAGTTGTCTTCATCTTTTACTTTGATAAATCTACTGCTTGTGGGATTGTTACTGACTACCTGGCCGCTTCTTACATCCCACAGACTACTTCATTACTTCAAATCGAAGAATAAAGAAAAAGCACGAAATATGAGTAATGTCTTTATCCTAAGGTTAATTATTTGCAGAAAACTGAGTGCATGTATAGGGTTGTAAGCGACTTTGTTCTTCCAAAGACTTGTGGAACCACTCAAAGTATAATAATAACATAAGCAATTATCCTATCAAAAAGAGACACAATTCTTTATTTTTCTAAGTATTTCTGAAAAGTTTCGACTGAATACTGACTAGGTAAAATATTTCCAGTCTGTTTCTGTGATTTTAAAAACTTTGTTGAGAGAGATATTTGAACTCCCGATATACATATTTGACATTTTTAGGCAAGTAAATTTGTTATCAAAGTGCTTGGACTGTTTATTATGAAATTGTAACGCTTCAAAGAATTTCAAAGTATTGAGTAATATCAATATCAGTATCTGTTAATTGTTCACCCTGTCACTGATAGCAATATATTTTGTCGAAAAGAAACTCTGGATATTTGTTTTGCAAAAATAATTCACTTACGCTACACATAATTCATAATATTTCATAACTGTAAGTTATTCACTCATACACTTCACTCACAAATGGTTAATGCGAACTAAACAAGTGTACTTCTATTTGGATTCTGTACCCAAATGTTATTCGTATTTATACTCACATAGTTTTGCATAGCCATCATGACCACTATCACCTAGTAGATAAACCATTATTATCTCTTAAAGATATATTTGTAAGCGAAGTTCGTTATTCTTGTGGGTAACCTACAGACGATTAGCAGTTGCTTTTAAATTGGAGTTTATAGCTGATATATTTCGTTAATATATTGTGGAATTTTAGCTAATATATTTACAACGTCTCGAACGCTTAACCTTTAGTCCGTCCTCCATTGTCATCAGTGATTAACTGCCTCGCATACGACACGGTTGAACTTCACTGGACATGGATTTTCACTAGAACTCCAGGAAATCCATATTGAAGCTAGTCACTAGTGAGTACATGTTAATTTCTGTATATGATTGTGAAGATTGTTGAGTCTCATAAATTATTGAAGTTTTAACTCAACAAGGAATACTCCTTTTATTTGTTTCTGATGTTCATGTGGTCATACATCCATTATGTGTTCTTTTTTAAATCAATCGACTTTGTAGAGACGTATGGCAAAAGTTTTAATAATCAAGAGGTCATTTGGATTGGACACGCACCAACACTGAATAAAACTGATATATTTCATGGATATATAACTGGTAAGTAATACGTTATATGTGAGAATTTATGAAAATGAGTGTTAGTCATTATATTATATATTTTTAAATAAATAGTGATGGATTCAAATCATCAACACTTTCGAAATCTATTTTTCCTATTTCTGTAGTTCTTTTTATTTAGGAGGCTTTTATTGAATGATGAGATGAAATTTAGATTGTCTATTTCAATCAATGAAATGTAATTTGATAGATGAATGCAATGAAATGAAATGATTACAAGATTGTATCATTGACTTAAGCTCTCAAGTGATTAGAAAACATAGACAATATGACTAAACAGATGAATAGATTCATTTAACGTACATTTATAAAAAAAATAGCAACATAGAACAAACCTGGTGAAATATCATATGTACTTGAACGAAGTTAGCTTGTTCAACACTAATTAATTAAGACATTAATGTTAAGCCTAATTTTTGGGTATCGTATAATAAATTCGAAATGACACAGCAATCATTGTAGGCTACGACTTACTTATTATACCAAGAGCATACATTCAGAAATCGTTTGATCTAGTTAATTTTCAACAATGAATAATTGTTAAACAAGAAGAAATAAAAATGTTATCATTCAAATGCTTGTAATTCGAGATAGTATCAAGGCAATCCGCATAGGATGTACGTATGCTAATAGGGGACTGATCAAATACAGTCCTAAATAATAATGGGAACATTCTAATAACCAATACAAAATGAATTCAAACTTCACCAAAATCCACAGACTAACGGCTATCTGGACTCAGTTGCTAGGTGGATAACTACATGACCATTGAAGCGAATTGTACTCCGTTCGAGTTCCAAAGTGAATATCAACTCTAAGATGCATGTACATTCAGCTGACGAGTCTCAATTAGGTTGAAACACACGTCCTGGATTCCACTGCTAGATACCATCCATTTCTACCTATAACGTATTTGGTATGAGATAATATCGAGACAATCCGTACAGGACTTACATATGCGAATAATAGACTGATCAATTACAGTCCTGAACATCAATGGGAACACTCAACTAACCAATTTGAAGTGAATTCAAATTAATATGATTTTCATGAAAACTTTTGAACGATTAGGTTTTTTTTTGAATCAATTGTATTATAACTCGTCATAATTTACTGATTACTGCTTTACTAAATGTGTTTGTTAATTATTATTGCTTGGAAAGTAAATTGTTTTCTACATCTTGTTCAACGAAATAAAATTGAAATGGTTTGATGTAATGAATAAAGCTAGACTGTTAGATAAATATTTGTTTATCAACAAACAAACATTGAATGAATTGATATGCAAAATATTCATAAAATATTTATCATTCTATGTTTGATAAATAAAGTTGAATACATTGAATTAACAATACAGTAATCCCCTACAAAGATGTCTGGAGATTAAAGAAAGTAGCATTACATTAAACATCAAACTTAATTTACTTACTTACTTACGCCTGTTACTACTCGTGAAGGAGCATACGCCGCTCACCAGCGTTCTCCATCCAACCCTGTCCCAAGCAATCCTTTCTAGCTCCTTCCAGTTGTTAGTCATCCTTTTCATATCTGCTTCTGTTTCCCGACGCGATGTGTTCTTTGACCTTCCTCTTTTCCGCTTCCCTTCCTGATTCCAAGTCAGGGCTTGCCTTGTGATGCAGTTTGATGATTTGCGTAATGTATGTCCTATCCATTTCCATCGTGTTTCCTAATTTCCTCTTCAGCTGGAAGCTGGTTTGTTCTCTCCCATTAAAGGCTGTTGCTGATGGTATCCGGCCAATGTATGTTGAGTATCTTGTGTAGACAACCATTTATAAATACTTGTACCTTCTTGATGGTGGTTGTTGTGGTCCTCCAAGGTTCAGCTCCGTACAGCAGAACTGCCTCGACGTTCAAATTGATGGTATAAAATTCACCGAAGATCATCGAATACACATCTGTGTTGTTTTATCACAATGTAAAAAGATGATCTTCTTTAGTAATACTCATTTTTCGATTTACTTCACAGTGACAGTCTAAGTTTGAAAGATCATAATTTTTACCTTAATTTAAGTAAGCAGTTTGTTGAATAATATCCCATCTTGGATAAATCAACCCCAAACATTAGACTTATTCGACAGTTTTTTATTATGGTTTTTAACCGCAATAGATAAGTTTTACGATAATAGTATGAAACCAAGCTAGTGATAGAGTTATATAATAGTGCAGTATATTTGTCAATACTATTAGGGCTTCAATGATTTTATCTTTTTGCAGTCTATACTACTAATAAAATTTGAAAGATAGACGAACCATATACATTTGGTGTTTATATCATCATCCAATAATTTAAAGAATGCTGAAGTAGTGGATTCTCAATAAATTTAATGATCAATATATTCTTGACTGTTGAAACAATTGTAATGTTTAAACTAACAAGGCTTTAAGCTTAAGCTATCTAAGGTAAACACTGATTAACTAATCAGTGAGTATGAAACTGTATAAACATTTTCATCTTTTGAAGGTAAATAGTTTTGAAGATTGAACAAAACAGTTGAGTCCGATCTTCTTTGTTTTCAGTAATCTACATTACTATGTGCAACTTAACAAAATTGTTCATGCCCAAAATCATGCAAGAGGTTAGGACGTTTGCAATGAAATTAAAAATCCCACAGCTTTTTATTCCAGAAAAAGAGCTTTCACACTAGTTGTATTATAGGCTGTTGGAACCGAATGACAAAAATTGTGCACATGATTAAGCGAAGGAAGAAAACAAATGAAAGTAAGCAGTCTTGCTCAACAATGATCTTCGACTGGAATAAGTATGTGAGCTGTCTCCATGTACGACTTTAGAGCAAACTCCGTCGTCAGAATTCCGTATGATAGTCAAAATCTTCCGGAATACATCACAATAACGAAGACGGTACCCTGACTTTCTCTTATCCACGCTCTCGAATACCTTCTCACAATAATTAAAGTTGGTGTATGATGATGAGTTTCATTTAATTGATTGTTTAAAACTTGTCCGCGATATCACGATTTGGGCGATACATGATCAATCCTTATGGAATCCAGCCTGTTGATCTCGAGGTTGGGAGTTTACTGAATCTTCCATTCAGTAAAAAAACGTACTGCTGAAAATTCTGCCTGGTACCGATGGTTTGATGTCTTTGTAGTTCTCACGCTTAAAGAGATCTTTCTTTGGTTGCATGATAAAGCTCCCTTCTTTTCAGGCCGTCGAAATTTGTTCCTCCTCCTAAATCTTCGTGAATATAACGTGGAGCATTTCTGCAGTTCTTGTAGGTGTTCTACCAACCTGTTCCTCGGTTTTTGAATTCCATTGATTGGCTTGCCTTCTTTGTCTTTGACTGGTCTCTTTGGTTTACTATATTTCCCTGTTAGTTTCTTCGTCGTGTCAGATAGTTGTTTCATATTTCCTTTCTTTTGCAGCCTATTCCACTATCACTGTTAGGCCTTCAACGTATATGTGCTTGTCATTTCTGATGCCCTCTTCACTTGTTTTTTCCTTCTGTATATTTAGCTAGTGCCTTCACCTTCTCTGCTCTTGTCTGGCACGTCGAATATGATGCTTCTTTAATCCGTTTCCGGTTATTCTCCATAGTAGTTTCCTCTTCGTTGAGTAGATTTTGTAAGTCTTGGAATCTGTTGTTTAGAGTTACATTGAATTCGTTGGGTATTTCGATAAAAGCCTGTGTTAAACCTTTATACTGCTGTGCTACTTTGACTTGATCTAAAGCTATGTCAGCTCCATTGTTAGTTCTCACGTCCTCCATTGATCTTCTGAATTTTTTGTTGATAAAATTTGATTGATCTAGTTTTACGTAATGTGATCCAGTAAGATCCATTTAGCTCTATGGTGGTGGAATATTGAGCAGCCTATAACCATTTTGTAGAATGATTAGGGTATGATATATGTTACATATGATGTCGTTTGTTTATTGATTAAATAAACTTTTTTATCCAGATCATTTGTGTGTGTTTTTATGTATTTATTTATTGCTTATGTATACTATAAAACAAAAATTATTCCTTTGCAGTATTCTGAATTCTCTTGTCGTTAAAGTTAATAATGTGGTTTATTAATGTTAAAATGATGTTGTGTGACGGATAGCTAGTCTATCGGAGTTCCTACTTTTTGAGTCGTATGAGAAGAATCTTCAGTCGTTCATAAATAGAATGTATTGTTGGCCAGTTGGAAACCCTGATACCTTAATTTTTATTATAAAGAAATAATTCAACTGGTATAAAAATCTTATTTTTTGCTTAGCAATTAGGCATGTAAAGAAATTTTAGTCGGTTGGTTTTACTAAATTTTTAAAAATGACATTCCTTAATGATTCACACTCAAACTGTTGTGTAGTAATTTTCGTGAAATCTATTATAGAATCCTAGGTAATCGCTCTCTGAATATTTTCCATGTCAAATTTGCTTAGATCGGTAAAATGGAGTATTTTTTGATAGTTCAGACGTCTTGGAGAACTGTAATCTCAAAATGTTAAACGGCTATATGAATAAACATTATGAGCAGTTTCAAGGAAATTATTCAACTTATCGGCAGATTATGGTAGGGACTGATATAAATAAAAATGAATTCGAATGCTTATAAGGATATGTTTAATTACTGTGATCATTTTACAGTAAGAAACATGCTGAATTCCTTCTATTTTGATATGCCAGTTCTATTAACATACCAGTTGGTTTTAATGGTATGATTCAAATGACAGCTATTAAAGCAATATAATATAAAAAAATGTATTCATGGTTTTTCTTTTAGCAAGTTTCTAGCAATGTAATTATCTTACTAACGAACTTGAACTTAGAATATTGAAGATAGTTGAATGGTCTGTTCATTCCGGTAGACCACTTAAAATCGTATCCGATAGTCTTTAACGAGTAATAGAATAATATCTCACCTTGAACTGTCGCTATTTCGATGCTTGTATGAGTCATTTCACGTAGTGTACACTTTCATTTTGCATTTTCATGTTTAATCTCATAGTCTCTGTTTGTTATTCACCTGTAGGTGTGTACTACAATGGTTTATTATTGAATGACATAGCTGCGGGGCTATCATATCTACCATTTATTCAAGTGGCAAGATTTGGAAAAGTTGAATATGTGCCTACATTTCAACCCCTTTTACCCACATCACGTTCAGTTGATGAGTAAGTTGGAATTTAAGCCAAATTTATTATGTAATTTCTCATATATTAGATATTGTATTTTTATTTTCCAGGATTATACACGAAATTATCGAAACAGTTTTATAGTGCGAGGGTTACCACTCAAATGAAGCTGAACGGTAATAGAAAATATTATAAAGAATGACAAGAATAAACTATATTTTAAGAAACACATTATATCATGTAGTTCGTAAATTAAAACATTTAATGTTTCTATTTATTAAGGACAAAATTAGTTGGGCAAAAGGTTAAAACTTTTAATGCTGATGTCATGTCTAGAGTTCAGCGTTCGAATCCCGCGAGCGGGATCGTGGATGTGCACTGCCGACGTGTCCCATACTAGGACGAAATGGCCATCCAGTGCCCAAGGTTTTCCGTGGCGGCCTAGCTTTGATTGACTAATGAATTGAACTATTAATTTACTTTTTTAATATTGAGCTACTTTCAACTACTATATCATTTTATCTGTTTTAACCTTTTATTCTAAATGATCATGTTTCACTTGTTGCTAATAAATATTACCAGTAATTAGACCATTTTGAACAAAATAAGAACGACAGTATTTATGGAGTATTATGAATTCAAATAAAGCTAGAACAAGCATGGATGCAGGATTATATGAATTCATTATATTTCATGATTTATCATCAACTGCTCACAACCATATATGAAATGAATTTTAACATTGAACATGTTCCAAAGAACTTGAGACTGAGAAGCGCAACGGTTCCTAACATAGAACACACTATTGACATTCCTCAAGCCTTCAAAATTATTAGTAGACAAAGAAATACAGCGTCTCTTCGGTTTGCTCAAGCAATTACGATAAGAAAACTCAAGCCTGATTTGTGGATCCAAAAAGAGACAACAATAAACCTGTTATTAACCCAGCAAATCATTTTTGGTCATCATCCTTATTTTGTTAGTGTTCATTTTGTGCTGTGATCTTTCCTTACCGAATTCTTATTTTGTTTACATTGAAACCACCTCTTCACTCATACATTTCCATTCACTTAATTCTCTCAGCTTATGTAAACTTTTCAAAACATGCTCAATTAGTACACAACTTATCAGTTTCTAATTCAAAGAATCATGTGTAAACCCATCATAACGTCTAAAATTATAACACAGTTTATCTTATCTGCCTTTGAACTTCACTCAAATATTACATCAGCCACCACTCATGTTTCCTGATACTAGCATCAAATGACCTACGACCTGTCCCTGCACATTCATAAATGTCAATTGTTTCACACTATATCTTACCTCAATGTTAACTTTTAATACATATTTGGTTATGAACAGCTGATGAGAATTCATTGTATTTTGTTGCTTTTTCTCCTATTACACCATACAAGTTGACATGTTGAATTATTTACAACAGAATATTTGAAAGCGGATTGTTCATCACCACTAAAATAAGTGAAGTGTAATGTGAAAGAAGTTAAGAATTAATGTCTTACTGTTGCTTGAGTTGATAGTTCTGGAATATTGAGAACAGTTTATTACGCAATATATATTTAATAAAATGTTTCAGGGAGTTTAGAAAAGAAAAGAGGGTATATGAGTTCAGTTCAGCAGATTGTGGTTACATGTAATTGTAGGAACAATGAATCACAAAGTTATCAGGTCAGTTGGGAATTACTTACTGATTTTTTGAACACAAAGGTCAAATTTATGCCCTCAAATTGTTATAACTTCTGGGAATTTCAGTAACATAGAATTGGTCTGTTTATCGATATTTTCAAACGAATTACATAAATGAGCTTTACAGCTCTTGTCTAAAAGGTGGAATGCTGTAATAAATAATTTTCCTAATTTACAGCATCATTTCATACATCAGTGCTTCATATCATGACATTATCTGGTAATTTAGATTACATTTACATAGTTTACTATGTTCAGTTTAAATTGTGCCTTCAATAAATAATGGGTGATGATGAAAAGAAAATGATGACTACTAAATGTAATTATATAATTCGAGTAGTTTAAAATTAGTAAACATTTAGTTTTATAAATCATTCTACCAATGGATTTTCTCAAAGAAGTTTCACAGTTGATGTCATAATGTTTGCTAATTTTCACTTCCTTAGCCAGTATCTCAGGAAAAAATCTCTCTGGTCAAAATCGTGATTTGTTTTTCTCAAATTCGAGTACACTTGTCCATCTATAAACTAGTTACTCAATTTAAGCATTGACACTTTTAGGCTAGAAAAATGAACCTTGAACAATGACGTGTAACCTTGACTGTTGTTGATCCGCTGAAATAAACAGCTCCCTCTTTTGTTTAAATAAAAAAACGCCACTGGAAAGCTTCGATAATTGTACATCAAGCACACATGCATTTGCATACAGACATAACGAGTAACATCAAACCATGAAAAAAGTCATAGTTTACACACTAACTAGCAAAAAGAGGTAGTGAACAAGTCACGTTATGAATAAATAATTATTAATAACTGAAGGACAATGAATTGTATTGCGATTGTTGACGGGATGAATAGTAGTTTATAAGAAGGGGAAATATAGAACCATAATAGTTCGGTTATGCGATAATTGTACAATAAAAACTCAAACAATAACAATCGGTGAAATAGATCCAAAATTTCCAAAATCTTCAGTACTCACCCCATAATAATAGGTGAAAGAACCATTTGGAAATCATTCAGTGATCTTCTATTCCCTTGATTTCATATTTGTTTTTACCTGTTATTATCTGTTTTACTATTCATAGGTTAACATCATCTGAGTCGAAAAATATTGATATTCAAAGTACATCAAACATTCCCGCTGACAGTGCAACAACATATATCAATCAAAATGACTACAACAAAGACGTAATTAAAGATGTTCTAAAAGGATCATCACAATCTTCACAAATTACCAATTCTATTTTGGGATTTCCATTGTTGAATTTTAAAAATTACACCATTATTATTTCGAATGAATCATCAAATGATAATAATAATAATAATAGTAAACATACAGATAATATGAACCAATATCAAATGCATCGTAATAAATGGAATTTAAAGGGTGTTAATAACCATATTAATATATGGTTGTTAACTGGTTTAGCTTGTACTGGCCTTGTTTTATTCATTTTCCTCACATTCCTAGCATATAAATGTCACTATACTAAATATGCAAATACTCGCTTTTTACATTCAAGAGAAACTACACTTAACAGACAATATTTTTCACATAAATCTGTAGATAATAATCCTATTCCAACTGATTATTTATTAAAATCAAATGATATTCATTTTAATATAGTCCCCAATTATTTGGAAGTGTATACCGATCAATCTGTTTCAACTTCAATTAATACCCTTAAATTATTAGACAGTCCAAGATATCCATGTGTATCCAATGTTAAACCAACTTCTTTAATTTTTGTTAATGAATCCATTAATCTTCCAATGAATTCATTGATAACTGAAAATGAATGTATGATACATAACAATCCTATATCACATGTATATCATATCAATGTAAATAATGCTTCAATAGATGATTCAGTAAAATCTACATTATGTCCTATTGAGGTTAGTCACAGTTAAACACTAGATCTAACTTATGATTATAAGATTAATTCATTTTTAAGCACATCTAGTGCATTTTATCAATGGTGAATGAAACATTCAGTATAATGAAATACATGAACTATACTAGAATCGCACTAAAACATTCCCATTTGTCTTCAATTATGTATATTAATCATTCAATCTTTACAAATATGAACAAGTGATATCATATTATGATTATTATTATTTCATGATCAAACGTACATTTCTACAGCATAAACAAAAAAAAGAAATAATTAATTGCTCTGTATTCAGTCATAGATACATGCATAGTAGATAGACTGAATCTAATCACATATATTCAGTATAATATGATATATGATATCATCACGTAAATAAAATAGGCTAATAATTTGATATGAATGATAAAAAGTAAACGTAGAAAAATTACAAATTACATTTTATTACATAATCAAAGTAGAACTGAGATTTTGAAGTTTCTTCAAATACATTCGATGTTATTTTCAAGATGAATTGAAGAAGATTCATATTTCTTTTTAATGATATAGTTCAGAGGATTATGAATCCAACAGATAATTGATTAAACTTTTACTAAAGGATGATATCATCATTATTCATTTCCAAAGTCTTATGTCATAGTACTGTTGTAGATTTTCTCTTTGTATAGAATATTCTGTAATAGTTCTTACATGACATTCATTTGTTTCATTAGTCAATACTGTATAAACACAATCATTTATAATTGAGATTACTTTTTCAATAATAGGATTCTATGTCCTGTTTATATTTAATAATTAGTTTTATGGATAAACTGATGATGAAGCTATGACTTCACCGCTGATCCCTTTTATGGCTGATTGTTACATGGTTAATCTGGAGCATACGATACTTCAATCAATAATCAATAGCGTGAATTTATACAAAAAATGAATAGATAATACGTTTATAATCTGGGGCAAAAATATCGACTCCCATGTCACTTTCAATAAATTCAACAATTATCATCGTACAATTCAGTATGAATTACAAATATAGGTTAACTGGAAGTTTCACTTCTTTGATGCCCTATTAAAATGGTTAAATGATTCACTTTGAAGATTCATAAACAAAAAATTAACATGAAATAACTAATACATGCATTTACAAAGCAGGTCTCCACTTATCAGAGAAAGGAATCTAGTGCACTTTCTTATTTTTGACAGTTAGATAAATATGCTCTACAAAAACAATAAACAATGTACTATGCCAGATCAGATAAACATTGATCAAAAATAATGATTCATTTAGGTTCATTTCAACTAATTTGAAAACAAAGCCAAAATGTAAAAGAACATTTGTGATTCAAACGAAAACTCTTTTTGATGGCGACACTACTATCGTAGAAATTCTGACACAGCTAGTAACATAATTTTTGAGGAAAACATTTTATACTGGTAAATTTTTTTATCAACTTCATTCGACCTATCATTCGTGAATGTGTATGAATGTACTTTCAGTTTGGGCCAGATCAATATGCATTTATATGCTGACTTGCTCTTGTGAAGGATATTATATTAACCATACAAAGCGAATATTATCTAATTGCATCTTGGAACGTTACCAAAAGTGAAATTTAAAAGGAGAATGCAGAACAATCAGCAGCTAAAAACAGGAACATTTCATTAATTCTGACGATGTTATCCCACCAGGATCTTTCTTCAAAATAATCTGTACATTAAAACAATTTGTCTCAAAGCCAACACGATCAATATATTGTTTACTGAAGAATTTTAAACATTTTAGCAGCTTAAGTCTCAACTTTGTGTTCAGTCTCATATCCATTTCATTAACAACCCTTACATTCTGTTTTTAATCGTTTACATTTCAATAAGTAATTATCACTCTCTTATAACATATAGTTGTCACGCAATTATTATCAACAATTGTCTCCCTTATTTCCAACCAGTAAATTATTTTCATATTCCTATTTTTCATTAATTTCTAGATCATTAAGCAACTGTCTTTTGGTACTTGAAGTCTCAGAACGCTTTAAGATGTAATATTTTTCTAAAATTCCATAGACCCATATATATTCTTTAAATCATTATAAATATGATTGTATGACTTCAGGAAATGATATTGTGCAAACGAGTAAACGTTTTTTGCTGATCTGCATTTTTCCTCAGTGATATAATAGGATACTTTTATATATTATATTTATGATTAATACTGCCCAAAACTTTTAATGAGAATTTCAAGATTGAATCATTCTGGCTAGAAAACAAAACATCGTTACATCTTGTCATTCCTACATAAATGATTTTAGGCAATTTTACAAAGTGGGGATTAGAAAATTACTTTTAAATGTCAAAGAGTTTGAGTGATTATGTAATCAACATGTCTCCATACCAATTTTCCTTCTTAAAACATTTCTACTTAAAGTGATGTTTAACAACTGGAAATTTTTATTACTATCGAGCTGAAGTCCATTTAAAGAATTACAATGACCACCGAACCGAAAATCTATTAAACTGTTGGGAACTCAACATTAATGTACATCTGTTTTATGAAGCTAAATTTATATTAAACTGTGAAGTAATTAATCAGTTTATTTTCTGAAAATAATGAATCGAGTGACCAGGTAGTTGAGAAAAAATATTGTATTTGGATAGTTATGTGATATCTGATGTGTAGATGTAACAGATTAAAAAGTCATACCGGGTAATGTCCCCATCTTTGTGACCGTTCTATTATGATTCTGGATATATAAATTCAAGCTTATAACACATAAGTGACAGCAATGTTATATCTGTTGTTAATTAGAATACATATTAATTGAGCAAAAAAGGACTATTTACTAACAATTACAGTGCTCTTATGCATGTGTTTGGAAGATTGTTAAAAACTTTGTTTAAAAATACAACAAAATACATAATCGATTTTCAATGACCAAAACTAATCTCATTCACTGCATTCTGCCCAGTAATCTGAAGTAAATTAATACTATCTGTATATCTATCTATTTCTATGGTTTCTCTTCACATGAGAATCCGAAAATTCGCTATGCTCTAGTCACGACGGTGATGAAACAATTTGCCTAACCCTCTCGGGCCAGGTTTCCAGATTCACTGGCACCGTCATTATAGCACACGTGTGGCCCCGGACATCTAAGGGCATTACACATCTGTTATTGTTCAGTGTGCCGCTTGTCCCTCTAAGAAGTAAAAACTGGCACCGCACCCGCCAGATCACGACCATACTACTAAATGAAAAAAACAATAAAAGCCGTGCCCTAAACGAGCACAGAAAACCGGTCTACCATTTAACAGATTATCGGAATCACCTGGACAATTTGCTGCACCAACAAGAACGGTTATGCACCACCACCGACCAAATGAAGAAAGAGCTATCATTCCGTCAATCTTTACAGTGTCCGAGCCGGGTGAGTTTTCCCGTGTTCAGTCGAATTGAACAGCAGGCTCTACTCATGGTGGTGCCCTGCCGTCAATTCTTTTAAGTTTCAGCTGTTGTAATATAGTTTGTCTTCAGTACATACTTGTCTGCGGTTTACGCGTGTTTTCGTGTTTATTGACACATCCAAGAATGGAATATTGTCGTCTGATGCTTCTCTTGTGGATTTGATATCGTTGAATATGTTGTTTACAACTTTATCTGTATTTTCAACTTTGTTTTCTTCGGGGAAAAAGTTGATTTCATCAACACAATGTATCAATAGGTTTTGTTTGATTATTAGCGAAACTAGTTTCTAGACTTCGTATCAAAGTCTCTAAGATTAGTTCTGATATAAATCACGTTTGTAGATTTGCTTGTTGAACTGAAGTCAAGTTGTCGGACATAAATCAATGAGTTAGACCAAACTTGATATATGTTTGCGTGTATTACAAGTGAGTTGTTTGCTGTTGGTCAACGCATCTAATAGAACATCAGTGGTGAATCCCGCTCCCAAAAAAGTGAATGAATTTGCACCATGGAATAACATCACTGAATAGTCTTTGTCTGGTTGTGTCTTAATTCTTATCCAATAATTGTTCTGTATCAAGATTGCGTTTATGGATTCCCTACGCGATTATTTATTGGTTCCTCAGTTGATATTTTTGAGATTACAGCTAACTTTTCTTTAAGAACCTTTACTTGATTGTCACCAGTTCTGTCTAGTTGATATGTCTATTGGGGTGTTCATCATTGATAAGTGTTCTGAGTTAAGTAGCTTCTTCATCTTCGTCTTCCAAATGTCGTTAACATATTGGTATTTCCGTATTTAGTAGTAGACGTTTGTGATTATTAACTTTAATTTCTTCTTTCAGATTGTTCAGTCAGTTCCTTTCTCAGTGAACAGTTGATTTTCAGTCTGTATCGTACTCTGATCGGTAGAACCTGCTAGGGACAGTGATTGTGAAGAAATTATAATCCCTATCTTGTAAAGGTTTGTCTTTTGGCAAATTTCTGGTTTTGAACTAGAGAAAAGATAATGCACTTAAAAAGATTTCTCTACTTTAAATATCTATCAAAAATGTACGCTTAAATAATGTGAACTTAAAGGAAGACCATAATCTATGAACAAACCAATCAGATTTAGTGTAACAGGTCTTGGATTTTGGCTTGAAATTCACTCACCGATTTGGTCAAATAGCGTCTTGGCATTTTAGCTGATGTCAGTTCGTGGTGAAAAACCGTAAATCTAATTCTTAACCCTAACTATCAACTGTGAATCATAATCCTTATTCTTCAAACTGTTTTATAACCCTCATGTAGACTAGTAAATAGGTAGACATTCTCAAGGTCACTTTGGCGTCACTCAAACGTCGTTCATAAATTATAGTCTCAGAGAACTTAATGTCGAAACTATTATTTGAAATGTATTTATCACCAACTTAATCATTATATAAAAGTATTATTCCTCTCCTTTAATTTATTAATCATGAATTTTCATTTGTATGTCAATAAGCGATTCAAACTGATAGCCAAATGATTCAAAGGTGCTTTTTTCTAAGTTGGATAATTTGGACAGAAAAAACGTACCCATAAAGCTTTTGTACTTCGGCCTATTTTAAATATAATTAAAATATTTATCTTCATTTTTGTATAAAGTATCTGAAGTTGATGAATTACTAGAAGTTATTCAGTTGTGTTAGAACAAGTTGTACGTTCAAGATATTACTATTCTAACTTCTGATTTGAAAGATTCTATGTCTATAGGCGCATAGATGAACTGAAATATATGTACTAATGACTAATATACAATTGTGTGACAGCCGAAATCCTTTAACAAATACATTTTTTATTGAAATCATGAACTGATGTAAGTTAGACAACTATTGTAAACCTTAAAGGATTGAGTGCTCGGTTCATCCCGGCTTATCACCAGTGTTTATTCATGATTCCATGCACTAGACTCGAACCCAGGATCAATTTAGTCGTATGCGAATGCCTAATCTGT